AGATGTGTATAAGAGGCGGGTGTAACTGGGCCCAGTGATGGCGCTGTGTGCACTGGGCCACGTCCTACGCTGCGGCTGTGGCGAGTGTAACTGGGCCCAGTGAGGGCGCTGTGTACACTGGGCCACGTCCCACGTTACGGTTGCGGTGGGTGGAACTGGGCCCTGCGTAATCGCACTGTACAATGGGACACATTTATTCTTATTTTATATTTTAGCAGATCTCACGCCATTGGCGAAAAAGAGCTCAGTAAGCAATAATCCACGTTAGCGAAGTGTGTTTGCGTTAACGAAGAAATGCATTGCATTTGCTGCGGATAATTTATTTATAAAATTTTTATAATTTAATTTATTTTATAATTCATTTGGTGGGAAATCAATCATAACTGACCAACCTTTGATTGTAATTCAGGAAGGAATAATGAATACTAAATTTGTATATTCGGAAGGCCGCGCTCCATATTAACATGCGGTCGCAGCAATATGCTACCGACTGTACGCACTCTCATCAGTCACCAAAAACACGTTTAAAAGACAATTTGCTAGGGGAATTGCCCATCGGTCCATCATAACAATTTTCTAGAGGAAACGGAGCTACTTCTAATCATTTGATTGCCGTGTCCATCCCTGCGCCAGACCCAAATTGGGCACCGAGCCAACAATTTACGACGTCTGTCCTGTTGCGCCACGTACAATATTCGTACAATATTGAACAGCGCATTAGTCCTCATGGCTCACCTCCCCGCTTTTTATTGAGCGATTCTCCTTCATTTCGCAGCGCTGGAGGACAATTATTCTTTATTTGCTTTAGTGTTGCTTTCGTTAATCTAACAATGCGACATTAGGCTCCGTAAATCACGGGTGCGACTATCGGGCGCATTGAACCCGATTGCGCCTGAAAATGGATTCGTTTGCTGCGTATCGATTATTATTAGATAATCTACTTGATTTACCACAGAAACTATAGCATTACAATATATGCTGATTTTCTCGATTGTTGTGTTCATCAAATATCAAGGTTGTAGTGGCGTGGTTTTGGTAACAGAAATCATTGTGAAAGCACGAGTAGAAAAACGTCGCCCATAGAATTTAGTGCATTTCGACTTAATCTAAGAACTATGTATTCTCGCGATATTCAAAGTTGAAATTCATTTTCTTAATTAGCATGTATTAATCGGCAAACTAAATTGAAATTTGATTAAAGTTTTTTATTGTTTTAATGCTCCTCGTCAAATCTTTCTTCATAAAGTGAAGAAAGAGTTCATTTCTGTTCGTTTAAGTTGTCCCTTGTTGTGTCATCACCGACAGTGCTTATTATCTCCTTTCTGTTCGTTTACGCAGCTACGGCGCTGGCTACGACCTCGCGTCCCGACGCAAGAACGCAACTCGGGAGTCGACGGCGACGCTGAAGGCTTGGCTCAACGAGCACAAGAAGAATCCGTACCCCACCAAGGGCGAGAAGATCATGCTCGCCATCATCACTAAAATGACACTCACGCAGGTCAGTGGCACCATTAATGGTGAACACAGAAGTGTAGTCACTGTAAAGGCGGTATAGCGCGTGATTAAGCTCGCCATCATCACTAAAATGACACTCACGCAGGTCAGTGGCACCATTAATGGTGAACCTAGAAGTGTGATCACCGTAAAAGCGGTAACAGAAATGGCGCTTATTGCAGAGTGATTACAGTCGCTATATCGTCACTACCAGGACTGTTACAAACAACTAATGCTAATATTTATCCCAGAACTTAAGGAGTGAAGTTAGTGCTAATTTACACTCGTGAACAGCTTAATTCTAAAGAGATCGATGGCCGCTGACGAGATTACAATTCCTGCCATCAGGTCTCCACTTGGTTTGCCAACGCTCGACGCCGCTTGAAAAAAGAAAATAAAATGACGTGGGAACCTCGCAGCAAAACGGATGAAGATGACGACGATGACGACGACAAAGAAGATTCGTCACTCATTGATAAAGATGACAAAGATGATGACGATAAAAAGGACGATAAAGACAGTAAGTTCTCCTGAAACTCCGTCATTGAAAGTATTGTTTAAATTTGATTATATTTTAGTCACCTTTTTTATTGTAAGCCTGGTGTCGAATATGATGAATACTGCCTCTTCCCGCATCATTCTCCTTAGTATCAATAATTCCTCATAAGTTTAACGCACTTTTTAACTTTCTCTCAGGTATATACGGCGATAATGACAAGGAACGGAAAGATTCAGACAGCGGTGTGTCCAGCAGCTCTGGGCTGCACGCTCCTGGCATGCTCAGTTTGCCTTCCTCCGGCACTCCTCCTTCAGAAGTTGTTCATCCCAAGCCCCGAATTTGGTCTCTTGCAGAAATGGCCACCTCAGGAGGACTTGCTAGTTCAGCGGCCACCACGCTAAGCAACGCCGGTAAAATCCTATCCTCTAACATCGCCAGAGGTTTGCATCTTGAAACAGGCCCTTATCCCCGACCCTTATTTCCCCACTCATCCTACCCCTACATTCCCACGAGCGTTTCAGAAAGCCTCCTATCTTATTCTTACGGAAAAGCCTTGGTTCCCGGCTTCCCTCCAGTGTCACTCAACGAAACATTGTTAGGCCCATCGCCATTAATGCACGACATACAACGGCACGAATTCGCACGACAGGAATTGTGCCGGCAGGAACTTTCCCGACACGAGCTCACGCGACATGAAATTGTGCGTCCAGAAGTGAGTCGACCCGATATTTTAAGACATGATCTCTTACGACACGCTGAAATAACGCGTCCGGAACCCCATCGTTTAGAGGGCAGGAGTAGTTTGGAAAAGGAGGTGTGATCATCATATATTTTTGCACTTACGGGAACTTAATATTTCCATTGAACACCCAATACTTTTAAATAACATTGATAGCTGTATAAAATCAATGCATGGAGGCCTCAGAGGATTTCTACTGTACAAATCTTAGCCGTGTTTTATATTCTCGATGGCGTAGGTACGAATCGTGTGTGTCAATCGTTATCATATCGCGAGGCGGTATTTATGAGCCCTTCGTTCCCCACGACAAAACCTTTTCCTGTTAATGTGTTGTTCTTAATTATGTTATAGTGTGACGCAAACTAAGGTGCAATTCATTATGACTTCACTGTGTATTGGGTCACTTGGAATTATTCCGAGTTCTTTACAAGTACAATATTATGTAGACTGTAAATATTTTTTAAGCCAAAGATTTAGATGTTTAGATTTACTAATTCTTAAATGGTAAAACAATCGGTAAGGAAACACAGAGGACACTAAAAAAAAGAGCACATACACGAAAATAGAACAAAAAAAAAAACACACATACACAAAATTAAAAATTCCACACAAAAAAAATGTAAAAAAAGAAAAAAATATTTTAATTTTTTCCAGTTCTTGTGGAAATTTGTGTTACCTTAATTTTGTGTATAGATACATACATACATAGATGAATTAAGAAGGAGATGAAAAATCTTCAGCCCAATTTCATTTCAATATAAAGTACCGTGGGCGGTGTACATGTTGGTGAATTTAATACATTTAACTTTCTGAAATATTAAATTGAAAATATGTGTGCGATACTGTGAAATTAGTTCTTAGTTGACCATGAATGAAGACAATTTTCTGCAAATTCATCTGCTAAAAATTATCTTAATTCAGAGTTCGTTTCAAGTCAGGAATTAAAGTTAAATAATATTTTAAAGTTAAACAGCACCGAGAGAACTTTCTGGAATTTCTCTATCAAATTTCATATCTGTACATCAAAATATAAATCAATGAATACTTGCTCTCATCAGTATTTATCACATTTGTAAACGTAACGAAATAGTATATGATTGGATGACTCTTTCTGATTGGAAAACACGAAGTTTGACCGTTGATTGTATAAAACTCTGCTATGTATAATTATCTGTTGTGAATCCTATTTCGAATTGGTCAAAATATTCTGAATAAAATATTGGTTGTATCGAAGTCAAATAGTTGGTATTCCATTTCCCTGTACTTGCAGATTATGAAAACTTGAGTTTGAGCTAAACATAACCAAGCTGAACTCAATGTTGTGTGCAGAAAATGACTCCAGTGGTCAATCTGTTTTACTTCTAACATAATTGGAACCAAACAGTCATAAAAAACTAAATATTGCATGGGAGCTGACTATCAATAATTTCTCAAATAAATCTAACTCATTATTGGATTACGAAAAAGTGTATGTCGGTACCATATCTACGGGGCTCAAAATAAAGGTGTCCACTTTCAAGGCCTTCTAGCGAGCAATGAAGTGTGTTTTATTTTAAAAATCTTTAGTGCCAAATGCGGTGATACCAACGTTCGTTGTAGACGTTAGGTATAGCCAAGTGTACGAGAAAAAATTCTGATCCCTATGTTTTTATTCTGGTTTGAGCAAATTTTCTCAGTTGTTTAATTTTAAGCCACTGTATATTGATGAGAAACCTTAAGTGTGCGTCCACAGTGAATGTGTTTCGCTACAAACTGCGGTCGTTAATGAGAGGAAAAACGCGTAATAGATAACAGTTAAACTTTAGAAAACTTTATGAGTGTAAAGTTTTCGTAAAGTGTTATGAATTTGTTTGGATTAAAGTTGATTGTTGACTAGCATTTTACAGCAGAATTGCCGTGTATACAATCATCGAATGTTCAGTTAAAATAAGTGTACAATCTTTATGTCTCAATTAATTTTTAACCCATAAAAAAGTTCAGGTTGTTCATGAAAATGAACAAATAATATAAGCTTTGTGTTACAAAAACAATCTGTGAATAACGAAATGCGATTCTCTTCATAATTTATTTTCATGTCATTCTAGGTAATTGAAGCGTTTGAAAATTATATGTTAATATTAATTTTTAAGTTTAAATTTCCTCTTGCTCCCTTGGATTGTGCCTAGTTATTAAAATTTTGAATTTATATTCCTAGTTATTTAAATATGTAGGATTAGTTATTTACACATCAAATTTATGAACAAAGTTTGCTGTGTTCCACGACAAACGAAATGAAGTGTAAATTTCTTGTACATTTGCATTATATGACATGACAAATCCTAATAAATATTTGTGATTATTAAAATTCGTTTTAACTCGTCACTTTAATCCATTTGATATTCAAGGAAATCTTTTCAATAATAGTTACAAATTTTGTGCAAATTTCTCATCGCCACCGAATAAACGCATTCAAATTTAAGATTCTTGTGAGATACTACGCAAAATATTCCTTGTTATTTCATAAGTAACCACATTTTCTCTCTTCTAATTCAAACTTGATAAGCTTTGTTTAACAATTTTAAATTTTCACTTATAGGATTCCCTCAGGAAGCTATCGGATTGCAATATCAATTTCATGACCAAGTAATCATGAGTGTCGACAAAAAATATGTCGCTTCCATTGATTATCGAAACCACGAACAAGCGAAGGAACAGAAGCGCATAATATTCGTAGGCATCTAGCAAATCATCGCCAGCACATCCAAATGATAGGGTAACCCGCATCGATCGGCCCACCAAACTTGCTCGGTAATGCATACCTTGGCTGCATATCCTGTATCCAGACGCCTAAAATGGACGGTTCCAAGCACATGCCTTGCTCGTTCCACACTCAATGATACACGCTCGAATCCTCAGCCCATTGTTCAATATCATCATTAGAGGCTTGAAATTTGTTCAAATTATTAGTGTTTTTCTATTATTTCAAAGTTTCTTGCTTCAATTGAATTCACTTCTAAATTAATCCTAAACTCCTAGAATCGGATATTTATAGTTTATAGTTTTCATTATATAATTGGTTCAAATCATTCACAGCGCAAGTTTTGACAGTGCAAAGCTATAAGAAAAATGATTGATTCAAGTTTTCCATTGAAACACGAGTCAAATTAATAATAATTATGAGCTACACGACGTGTGCTTTTTGTAGAAACCACTCGTATAAGAGAATCTAAGTCACAACTTAAAATAACGCCTTGCTCAGGGCAGACAAATATTAAAGTTATTTTAAGCGAGACACTGGTACGTGTAACCAATGCTGCTCGCACGTTGCCCTGCGAACGCTTGTCTAATCGCTTAATACATCCAAAGCAAATATTGTCGTTAGCAATTCGTATACACTTTGAAAAGCGGATTACACCGACTGAATCTACAAATACAGCGGAATATAGGGTGATGAAAGAAAGAGACCTTCTCTAAGTTTAGGGTATAAGGGACGTGAGGCAAAAACAACCTACCCTTACAACGAAACATAAGTCCTGACCACTGAACTGCGGAACGTAATGTTGACATAAGCGGGACGGAGGAGGTAGCAATAGCAAATGTGATAAGATTCGAGCTGTGCATCTATTGCTATATTCGTGCTAGAAGTTGTGCTTAATGGACTGGGTACAAACTTTGCATACAAAGTCGCTCGAATTTTGAATCTTACCTATAGGCGAGTAAGGAACAATTTTGTCCCGCGGTTTAGTAACGACTTCCAAAAAAATTAACATGAAATATTGAGTGACTGTACACGTACCAACACGTCGCTGGCTCTGAGCTTATAATGTTCCTTAAATCAACATCCCTCGCCATTGTTGGGTGAAAAATTATTGTGCAAGGGTTTGGATGGGCGTTACAGGCTTATCCTTGTTAGAAACCATTGGAGTCGCAGTTGCGGCCGCTCGTCGGCCGTTGATTCCTCTAAAATAATGCCAGTAAGATTTCCTTTGGTAGAATGTTTGTCCGTCTTTAGAAGCGATCAGTGAGCTTGTCATGACGGATCTGCGAATGCGATACTAAAGGGATTTAAGGTCCGAATAATCGACGTCGATAAATAATGTTCTCTCATGCCGGGACATCGCATCGTGTTGTGTTCGTCCGTTTACTGTACGCGTTAAGGAATAAATGCTGTGATTTATTCATAATACGATAAATTCATTCAACGATTAACTTTACTATAAAATAATTAATTTTACAGCTATAGCCAACCATGTTATACAACTTTTAATAATCTAATTCCACTTCTTAGGTAGTTGAGGTTTGCGTAAAATTTCGATGGGAAAGCCTTGAACATCCTCTTAACACTAGGCTATATATGCCACATGGCCGTATCAAGTATAACTGCGTTAACGTCATAACTATACTCAGTAGGATCTTCACATACCCATCGTAACTTGTAGGATCTATCACAGTGTATTTCCCTCAGAATAGTTTAATTTATATTTAAATTTTATCTGGCTTTTAATAACCAGAAGTTCAGTGATGAATTCACTCCAACAGTTCAGGGTTGTGTTCACTCCAGCAGTTCAGGGTTGTGTTCACTCCAGCAGTTCAGGGTTGATGGTGATGGATGGATGGTGGTGATGGAAGTGATGGTGGTGTTAGTGATAATTGTGGTGAAGGAGGGGTGGTGATAATGGCGGAGGTGGTGTGGTGTTATGCTAATTATATCAGACACCCACTGATATCTGTATCAATGATTCACTCTTTACGGAATTTCAATCTTATCACATACTCGACCAGCTGATGAAACAGTCTAGCAGCACAGCAGCCCGCCTCTCCGTCCGCATAAACTCCCTAAACAATCGCTACAAGAAGGCCAAGCTATAATCGCTACATTTACATTGATAGTTCGAACCATAGTGCATGAAAAAACAAACTCGCGCTGTTTTAAAATTATGTTCAGGGCTGATTTGCCGCAGTCTTGCAATTATTAAATTGATTAATGTATACACAAAATACTGTGTTCGTCCTCTAGAGTTGATAATTACGCGGAAAAACTCCACGGTAATTGAGACATATATTTAGTTATATGTTCTCAAGCCATCATAGCTCCAAGATCAATTAGTCCACTAATGCGTCGCTCATTTTCATGTTTATAAATTTAGTTTGGAATGGTGTTAGTTTTAATTTCACAAACAATTTTGGACTCGAGCAAAGTAATATATTTTTTACTTGACTTAATCCTCCTAACTTAAATTCATTGTCTATTTCCTCATGGATACGACTCGCAAGCTGTGATGATCGTTTAAACTTAAACAGCTAAATTTAATTCACATAAATAAGGTAATATGTTTAGGGAAAGTCTGTCCTGTCATTTTACTATCTCCTCATTGCTTTCAAAGCACGAATTTGAATACATGTTTCATTCAATACCATTCCTAAAGAATATGGTCAGGAAAATTAATTTTACTTTCTAATGAGATATCAATTGCTTTATAATTCTTATGTAAATTTATCCGCAAGATCTCAGAAATTTAAACATGATTTACGTGTCTATCCTTTCTG